AAATAAAATATAAAAAAGGATGGTTCAGTGGTTAAGCACTCCTGGGTTCAATCCCAGGTACCAAAACAAACAAACAAACAAAAAACCCAAATGCTACAAATCAGTGCTTATTTCCTTCAGAGAATTTGTCATTTAATATTTACCACCCACAACTTAATCTCAGTCCTGCCACAGACTACTCATGTGACCTCTATCTGCACTTACACATAGGATGATCTTATCCATTCTGGTGGCTTTGAACACCAGTTCCTGTATTTCTGAAAACTCCCAAATTGATATCTCCAATCTAGACCCTCCTACTAGATGGCACACTCATATATCAGATTAATATTGCCAACTTCCTATTTAACATTTCTACTTAGATATCTAACAGACATTTCAAATTTAATATGACAAAAACTGATCACCCTATATTCAGGCTCCTCATAGTCCCAACCTCTTTCAGTTTCCTCTTCCATCTTAGCAAGTGGCAACTATTTTGTGTTGCACAAACCCAAATTGTAGTTGTTACCCTTGAGTATTCTATTTCTCTAACACTCTTTATCCATTCCGTTCAAACATCCTTTCTGCTTTACTTTTAAAACAGTCAGAATCTGACTGTTTATTACCATCTCTCCTGTTACCACCCTAGTCTGTGCCACCACCATCTCTCACTTAGATTGTTTCTGTAGTAACTCTGGACTGGTCTCCCTGCTTCCTACCCCACCCCACAGTCTATTCTCAACATTGGTGTCATTAATACAGAAGTCAGATCATTTCACCACTCTTCTCAAAATTCTCCAAGGGCTACACAACTAATTTGGATTAAAAACTAAAGTCTTATAAGACCTTATAAGAACTAGCCCACACTTCGCTTTTCTCTGATCTCACTTCCCTACCATTCCCCCCTCCGCCTACCCATTCCACTCTAGTCTCAAATATATCAATCCTGCTTTCAACTCATAGTTTTTGTCCTTGCCTAGATACCATTCACCTAGATACACACATAACTTGCTTCCTGGCTTACTTCAGGTCTTTCTTTTAATGTTACATATAGGCATGGCACTCCTTAACTCTTTTATTTAATATTATAAAGCTCCCTCAATTCTGCTCCAGCACTCCTTGCCTCATTTTTCTGCTTTCTTTGCCTTTTCTTCTTTTTTGGCATTTATCATCTTCTGTGGCTTTTATTTATTTGGGGTATTGTCTGTTTCTCAAATAGAATGTAAGTTCCAGGGGACAGGGGTTTTTCCCTATTTTGTTCCCTATTTTGCTGTCACTATTGTACACTGTCTTACTGTAACTGCCTAGAGCAGTGCTTGAAATATAGTGGAAACTCAATAAATGTTTTAATGAATGAATACACTATCTAGTACCACTTACTACATTGCACTATAATTAAGTGCTATGAGAGAGATGTAAAGAACAAGCTGGGAGGTTCCAAGGCAGGAGGGAACTTCTCCCAATTGGGGAACAGTAAATATCCTTAGAAGAATGAGGGTCTGGGCCTAGAAAATGGGTATGGTATAGGCTTGAGATTGTTAGGAAATGGAGAGCGAATAGCAGGTTGTTTCTGAGAATACCATGGGACAAATAGTGAAGCATGTCTTGAAATGCTGAGGAGTTCAATGTGGCTAGACAGCAGGGTGCACGAGAAGAAATGTGTGTGCCAAAGCATCAGAGGAAGGCTAAGACTAGCTTCTGATGAGACCTTAATACTGCTGTGAGCACACTGAAACATCATGGGCTCACAGGGTGGATAGAAAAAGGAGAAGGGTTTTTCCAGCAAGACCCAAACTTCCCATTCTGGCCCCGAGCCTTCCCATGATGGCCTTCCCTAACGCCTTCTGGAAATAGGACAGCCTCATGGGTTTCTCTTCACATTCAGTTCAAGCTTATTTACACAAGGCTCATTCAATTCCCAGGGAAAAACTTCACCATAGCAACGGGCTGGGGCTGTGGCCTCGTCCAGCAGTGAAATGTTTCTCTCTGGAAAGGGCAGGATTTCTGCTGAGCAGCACCACCTGGGCTTCCTTCCCCTTTCCAGGCTCCCAGACCTGGGCCTAATTAAGTTTCTTGTTCAAGTGGACATTTGGGTGCTTTAGCTTGTCCTCTAATGATTTTCCCGAGCCCTTCTAATTAACTGAAAAGGCCATTTTTCATCACTTGCCCTATTTTATCTCTTTATTTGGGAGATCCAGGTTTCACAAAATAATGTCTAAGGCTCAATTATCTTAATTATTTGCTTTCTTTGCCTTCCATCTCTTCTGCCTCTCTTTCCCTTCAGGGATGTGTATTATGCCACATTGAGGCTCTCTCCAAGATGAAGGCTATGGTAAAGTCAATTCCACACTTAATTTTTTCCCTGCCTCATTGCCCCACCTCTATTTCAAGCTCCTTTTTTTCTAAACAGCTGCCAGTGTGAAAAAGCCTTAGGGGGCTTAGTTCACTACAAGCTCAATATGAGTCAGCAGTGTTATATGGCTGCCAAAAAAATAATGCAATTTAATCAGAAAGTGAGGGGATCCAGAAGGAGAATGGCAAGAGCTTTTTCTCTGCTTTGCTGCTTCGCCCTGGGAAGTAGCACCTGCTGCTTTACCACGGAGCTTGAGGATACTGCAGGTGGAGAGGGAAAGAGGCTGTATTGAGAGATTGCAGATACACTGGTCTCCTGACAGTTCCTCATCAGACCTGGCATGCTCTAGCATCAAGGCCTTTGAACAGTCTGCTCTCTGATTGAAATACTTCCTTTGGTTCTTGACATGGCTCACTCCCTTACTTCCTTGACTACTGAATAGATATCCTCTCTCTAGTGAGGCTGCCTCTAACCTAACTATTTAAAATTCTCCTTCCAATCAATCTCTATTTACTCATGCACTGCTTTGTTTGACTTCATAGCACTTATTTCCTCATAGATTATCTGTTTCTTTTAGTAGAATGTAAGTTCATTGTATGTGTTTTTGAGTATTTTGCCCACTGTTGTGTACAGAACAGTCCTTAACACACAGTGAAAGTTCAATACATATTTGAATGAACAAAAAACTCATTAATAGCACTTATTTCATTCTATTATAGGTTACCTTTTCATTTGTCTAATCCTCACTAGAACTTCTGTTTATGGGAAACCTCTTTTTCCTCTTTCTCGATGTTTTTATTAATTACCTAGTCATCACATGCCATGGTATATATTCGGTGGATAGATGTACTGACAGGGATGTTACAAAAAGGTATTATATATTGGATGAGGGTTGGCCCAGGCCTATGCAGCCCAATATAGTAGTCACTAGATACATGTGACGCTTGAGCAATTGAAATGAGACTTGTTTGAATTGAGATGTGTTATAAATGTAAAATACACACTGGATTTTGTTGAAGGCATGTTGAAGTAATAATGTTGTATGTACAGGCTAAATAAAATCATTCATAAATTATGTTCACCTATTTCTTTTTCTTTTTAAAATATGTCTACTAGAGAATTTAAAATTTCATATGCAACTAGCAGTGTATTGGTCAGCATTACTCTGGAGATTTTGACCATTTCCATATTTAAACTTTGACCTTGGGGCTGGGGTTGTGGCTCAGCAGTAGAGCGCTTGCCTAGCCCATATGAGTCCCTGGGTTCGATCCTCAGCACCACATAAAAATAAATAAATAAAATAAAGGCATTGTGTCCAAATACACCTAAAAATAAATATTAAAAAAACACCTTGGGCTGGGGATGTGGCTCAAGCGGTAACGCGCTCGCCTGGCATGTGCGGGGTGCTGGGTTCGATCCTAAGCACCACATAAAATAAAATAAAGATGTTGTGTCCACTGAAAACTGAAAAATAAATATTAAAAAATTCTCTCTCTCTCTCTCTCCTCTCTTTCTCTCTCTTTAAAAAAAAAAAAAAAAAAAAACCTTGACCTTTACAAGTTTCTAAGGCATATGTGTGTGGGGAGTAGAGGTGGTTTCTTTAATTAACATAGGAGAGTGTTCTCTATATTCACTGCTTCTGGAGATGGGTAACAGAAATATTGAATAAGCACAATGGTCTGTTATTAAACCTCATCTTTCTCATTTCTGTCTTTTATCACTCCAGCTAGTCCCAGAGCTGCTAGCCACAAGCCAGTTTGAATAGTGAGATATTCTCACCTCTTTTCTTAGCTTGTGCTCACCCATGCTTCCCCTGACCAATGGTAGAGTGATGAACTAAAAACTGAAAGAAGAAAATCTAGCCACAGGCACCCTGGGTCATTCACACTCTGCAGAGGCCCCTTGGAAAATCCATTTCTGCTTGATAAGTGATTCTTTGCCTATAACCAATTCCTCTGTCAGAACCCCATGCTGGGATTCCAGGAAGTCAGTAGAGAAGGAAAGGACATTGTCTTCTAGGAGATTATATTTGAACTAAAAATAAAACTAATGTTTGTGAGAAAAGTTATAAAAGGATGTTGTTATGAAATATATGTTGCACAGAGAAATGGCCCAGATTGTTGGTGTGCTAAGAGTTCAAATAAGAGTCAGCACCAAGGTTTGTTGCAGTCAGAGAAAGAGGTAGTATTTCACAGAAGAGGTAGTACTTGAGTTGGTCATTGAAGGATGTGTGTAATGTTACTAAATCCTAGATTTCCATATTTGAAGGACCCTGAGAGACATACCACATTCTTCATTATATATATAAAGAAACTGAGGCCCAGAGATAGAGAGGAAGATCAGAGGTAAAGTTGGAATTGAAGCCAAGCTTTTCTAGTTCCCAGCCAACTACCCTTTCCACCAGGAACTAGGGAGGGATGGTGTTCAATGAGTAAAACATGTAAAACTCACAAAATAAAAGGTCTAGCAGCCCAAATGCCTGGAAGAACTATTCGTTCTCCAACTCACACTACTTCCCAAACACACACACACACACACACACATACACACACCCTTCAAACCAAAGGGATTTCCCTTTTTTCTTCAAGGACATGTTAACTTAGCAGGCAAAATAAATATCACTGAATTTGAATTGCAGGTCAAAAATCAACTAGTTTTTATTTAATTAGAAATGGGCCATGTGTTGAAAAATGGCCTCTCTGATGTAACCTGCCATCTCAAAAGCTTTGAGATTGAGAGGACCTCCTTCTGTTCCTTTTTGTCCCATCACCACAAGGTATACAGACTCAATCTGAACTACCGTCACTGCCTGGCTACCTCGACTCTGGCCTTTGGTGCGCAGGTCCATGGTATTGTTTCCTTCGGTATACAGATTATCTCGGATCAGTAAGCATTTGGTCCCCGCAAGGATGATTCCCTGAAGAAACAACTTCTCTCTATCCTCCTTTGTGAGTAAGGTCTCAATTTCTTCACGGGTCATTTGGGAAAAGTTCCCTTCAGGATAAGAAGCCAATAACCAGGGTGGAGAATTGGTGATAATTGCTGCATCACAGCACATCTCAGTCTGTAGGAAAAGACTGATGCAGTCCTGCCAGACCTCATCACTGATATCCCCTATGCACTGCATGATTCGAGAAAGCTGTCTCAGTAAGATGAATAAAGGCTTCCTAGAAAGTTGATCTTCAAAGAAGTTTGTTGGCAGTTGGCTCAAGTAGTCTGATCAGCTGAGATTGAAAGTAAAAAATCCAGTCTGTTTCTTATGGCCTCTTCCCCGAAGGAAAGTGGAGGAGGTCTTGATGACTTGTATAAAGTCGTGCTCCAGTTAACCTCTGCTGTGATGTACTAAGCCACCTCTGAAGCAGGAATGAGGTCACAAAACCTCTGTGACTTTTAAATCATCATCAACTACATCGACTCTAGCAGTAGCTTTTTTGGTCTACATCTATAGCTATCAAGGTAATAAGGCAAAGTACAACTGCTTGCTTCCCTTGTTACCACGGGAGTAGCAACCCCCAACAGGAAAGTTCTAGAAGTAGAACATAAGTGAGTAATAATTGATTTGGAATCTTGGATGTAAAGCAGGGCAGGTTAGATTTGCTGCAACAAATAGTGTTTCATATGTTGGCTAATCTTGCTGCTATCTGAGGTCTAGGTACAAAGTCAAAAATCCCACTGACTCACCAGTTCACAACTTCTTTTATCATAACCACAACAGCTTCTTACATGTTTATTTGAGTCCAGATTATTTCCCTCTAGTTTATCTTCTGGATCACACTAACTTTGAATTTAGAGTCATTAATTATTTTCAGTCATTCAGTACATTTCAAGGATTTTCTATGTGCCAAATATTTTTCTAGGCACTGGGGTACAGTAGTGAACAAAATAAGGATAAATCACTGTTCTCATGGAGAAATAAATGATGATACTGTTACCTTTTTCACTGAAAATATTTATGAATGTGATACTTTTTTCTTTCAGGTTTTTTCACACATTACTAGGTTTCCTACTCCTGTGGGTGTCTATTCTAACTCATAGGTTTCCTGCAACCTTTGGAAATTCTCTATTCTTCAGTGACTAATGTTGACACTGGTAAACATCTGGGATACCTCTTAAAATTCATTTACTGAACAAATATTTATTGAGTACTTACTCTGTGTGCCAGGCCTGTTCTAGACTTTGGAGAGCTAGGACTGAACAAGAAGTCCCTGCCTTCAGGGAACAGACATAGTAGAGGATATATAGATAGATGACACATATGTTTATAATATATCAGATGATATTGATAAATATGAAGAAAAAGGATTAGGAAAGTAGAAAATGTTGGAGAAGTGCTGCTGGTTTTATTTTATATAAGATGAGGATATAGTGACATTTGATCAGAGATCTGACAGAGATGAGGGAGTGAACAAGTAGATATCTTGAGGAAGAGTATTCTAGGTGGAGGAAATAACAAATGTAAAGGGCCTGGGTCAGGAACAGGTCTGGTATATTTAAGAAACAATGGGGTAAGTATGACTTGAGCAGAGAGAGAAAAGAAGGGTGATAGAAGATGTGTCTAGAGAAGTATAAAGTTGGGCATCATAGACCATGATTAAAGGTTTGGTTTTGACTTTGAGTTGGGGAGCCATCAGAAGGTTTTGAACAAAAGAGTGGCATCATTCTATACTATAGAGTAGAAGATGCCATGTAAAGAATAGATTGTAGGGGGACAAGACCAAAACATGGAGAATAGTTAAGGAGACTGTGGCAATAATCCAGACAAAAGATACAAAAGATATGAAAGGTTGGGGCCAGGATACAGGAGTGAGAAATGGTTAGATCTGGAAAATATTTCAAAGGAGGAGATGATAGAATTTGATGATTGAGGCAGATGATATGAGAGAAAGAGGAAGCCAGCAAGGCATTTGGCCTGAACAACTGTTACATGGTTTGAATATTTGTGTTCCCTCTAAAATTCATGTTGAACCATAATCTAATTCTCAATTCAACAGTATTGAGATGGTGACTTTAGGAGGTGATTAGGTCAAGAGGGCTCCACCCTTATGGATGGGATTAGTGACTTATAAAATGGCTGAAGGCAATTATTTAGTTCCTTTTTGTCCTTCCATTTCTTCCACTACATAAGGACATAGCATTCAAGACACCATTTTGGAAGCACATACAATGGTCTTCACCAGACATGGAATCAGCTGGCACCCTAATCTTGGACTTCCAGCTTCCAGAACTATGATACAAATTTATGTTCTGTTCTTTATAAATTACCCAGTCTAGGATATTGTGTTAGAGTTGTACAAACAAACTAGACAAACTGGAAGGATGTGGTTTCTGTTTCCTAGATGAGAAATACTATCCAAATAGAATTGACAAAGCAGGTAGAAACCAAAAGTTCTATTTTGGACATGGTTAATTTGAGTGAGATATCTCTTAAGACATGTAAGTAGACATGTCAGTACTCTGTTAGATAATATGTAAATTTAGACTTCAGGGAACAGATTAGGACTAAAGATAAATTTTTGGAAGTTTTTCATGAATACATGCTATTTAAAGTCATAGGACTAGATGACAATATCCAGAGAATAAATGTCAATAGAGAAGACAACCAATGTCTGAGTCCTGGCAGCATTTCAACATGTAGAGACAAATAAGATGAGAGGAAAGAGTAAAGCAGATTGGAAAAGAGAGGTCTGAAAAGTAGGAGAGAGACAGTGGTGTCCCTGAAACTAAAAGAAGAAAATGTATCAAAGAGAAAAGAACAATTGAATACTGCTGAGAAAAAGAGCATTAAGGATTGACCAATTCATTTGGGGGGGTGGTGTACCAGGGATTGAACTCAGGGGCTCTTAACCATTAAGCCATATCCTCAGCTCTTATTATTTTATTTTTATTATGAGACAGGGTCTTACTAAGTTGCTTAGGGCTTTGCTAAGTTGTTGAGACTGGCTTTGAAATTGTGATCCTCCTGGCTCAACCTCTGATGTTTCTGAGAGTATAAGTGTGCACCACCTCACCAGCTGCCCAATGAATTTTTCAATGAGGAGATTATTAACACCTTGACAAGAGCCATTTGGTAGAATGGTGGCAAAGCCTAATTAGAGTGGTTTCAAAAGAGAACAGGAGGAGAAGAAGGAAAAAATGGGTCATAGAATGAATATAGATAGATCTTTTGAGGAGTTTGGGTATAAATTACAACAGAAAAATGGAAGAATGGTAAGTGGGGCACAAGAAATGGTAAGTGGGTCAAGAAAGAGCCTTTTTAAGACTGGAGATATTATGACATGTTTTATGCTAATGGAAACTATCTGGTAAGTTGAAAACATTCTGTATAAAGGAAAAGGACACCTGAGAAGGTGAGGGAAGATGAAACTCCAGCGGACAAAAGGATGGGTTATCTTAGGTAGGTTCAGGAAAAATTGATTCCTTGAAGACAAGTGATAGCCAGGTGTGGTAGTACACTCCTGTAATCATAGGAGCTTGAGAGGCTGAGGCAGGAGAATCACAAGTTCAAAGCTAAGTTCAGCAAATTTGTCTCACTAAGAAACTTAGTGAGACCCTGTCTCAAAATAAAAAGGGTTGGGGATGTGGCTCAGGGGTTCAAGTGCCCCTGGGTTCAATCCCCAGTATCAAAAAAAAAAAAAAAAGAAAGAAAGAAAAAGAAAAAGAAAGAAAGAAAAGGTTATATGAGTTCACATGCAGGGCAGCAAGCAAATTGATTGTGAGGGGATATGGAAGTTGACTTTTGATAGTTTTTATTCTATCAGTGAACTAGGAAGTAAGAAAAAAATTCTGAGAGAGGAGAAAATATGTTCGGTGATGAAGTCGAAGGAAGGGAACATAACCACCAATCTTCATTATGCCCTTTGTTACATTACTGCCATCTCATATATGTGACCTCTTTGAAGCCTCCAAAGAACTTAATGAGAAAGGGTTATAGATTAGAAAACCAAGGCTGAGAGAGGTTGTGTAATTTGTCCAGAGTCATGTGTCATTAGGAAATAGCACACCCAACATTTGAACATTGTCTGACTTAGAGTCCACACACTCTTCTCACTATCCCAAACAGCACAGAAATAGGTTTAGAGTCTGAACAACTGGGTATATGGCAGTAGAAATGGGGAAAACTTGAGAAAGAACATGTGAAGAAGAAGGCAGGGGGCAGGAGGAGGGTATGAAAGACAAAAAGTTTATTTGGGGCCACAATGCCTTTAATGTGGTAGCAGTAACACAACTGGAACTCTCAGGTAATAGTTGGAAGTTCTAAATTTGAACTCAGAATAAAGGTAACAAGACTTGAAATGTTAAGTTGAGAGTCCTCTTTCAGTTATAAGAAGTGAACTTGTGGAAGACATCAAAATTACAAAGAAAAGACATCAAAATTACAAAGCCAGAGAAGTAGTTTAAAAGGGACTAAGAGGATTTGGGAGGGAGGCAAAGAAGGAAGAAGAGTTAGAGATGCAGGCAGTGAGTCTGCTTTATAATAAAGGCCAAGGGAAGAAAAAATGTCAAAATAGTATATGAACCAATAGTTCAAAATGCTGCAAAACAAATGCAGAATAAGCACTGAGAAGAGCTGTTGGATTTAGCAACAGGTATTGAGGATGGTATAAACAAGTCAACTGAAGGGGATTGTTAGAAAGCCACGAGTTTGTTATAAAGAAATAGAGGTGATAATAAATAGTTGATTCTTTTGAGGTGTTTGGCATTAAAATGACTAAAAGTAATGGAATAACCATTTAAGGGAAAATATGGCTGTGAATTGAGGTAAAGGTTTTTAGGTTAGGGATGAAGATGAAATGTGATAAATGAGAAGTTTAGCTAGCAAGAGTACTCAAAGAAGAAAGAAGTCACCAGGTAAGGAATGTGAGATTGCAAACAATAATACTGCAATAGTAGAGCTAGAAATGACCCTGGAGACAGGGCCAGTTTTTTCATTGTAACTTTGAATGAATTAAGGCTCAGTGAGGTGACATGAGTTGCCCAAGGTTGCACAGCAAGTTGGTGGCAGCCCTGAAAGGAGTAAAACCCAGGTTTTTCAACTCCAAGACTGTTCTTTATTCTATCACAAATTGGATTCAGAGCATACCATTGAGGGCCTATACTTGTCAGCCTTTCATATGAGAACTGGTCCAGTGGACCCTTGGTCCTCTTCCCACCTCTGTGATGGTATAATTTATAAGACTACTGCAGTAGTCTAGGTCTTAACTAGGTTGGTGACAGTAGATATGAAGGAGGATATGTAGAGCAGCATATGCCTCTCCATCTTTCAAAATATATTCTACAGTGCTAGAAAGCTCTTCAGAAATACAGACAGAATCATGGGACAGCCTGTGCTAGCTCTGTAAGGTGCCATCACTAAAACATTAGTGGAGTGAAATCGGTGTTCAGAGTCCTGATAGCATCAAGGAGTGTGAGTTGGGTCTTAAGAATTGGAGCAAACCTTGAACCTGAACTAGCATAATCAACTCCGGGAAGAAAAGGGCGTTTGCCAGAAAGCAAGATGGCGGTAGTGGCGATGGGCGAAATATCGCGATAGGAGAATCCGTGAGAGTTTGAGCCAAAACTGTTAGGGCGCGGGGCGGGCGGGGGGGAGGAGGAGGTAGAAGCTGTTGGGCTAGTAGGTGGCAGAAGCAGAGGCTGTGGTGGCGGCGGCGGCGGTGGCGGCGGGGGCTGTAGCAGCAGCACTGAGGGATTCAGCTGGCGGGAACTATTATCATGGACCATATCACAGTGCCCAAGGTAAGGTGAAGAGTTAATCAAGGCTGGCAGCCACCGGGTCTTTCTCGGTGTTCAGCTGGAAGCTCGGGCACACCCCCTCAGCCTTCTCTGAGTGCTCTTTGACGCCCCCATCCCGCTCCAGGATCTGTGTTCTCTTTTGCAGTCCACACCCCCTTTCAACCAAACTTAGCCTTCTCCTCAAGGTCCACCATGGGGTGGCAGCGGAGCTGGAAGCGGTGGTCTGCGCCACTGTACCCACACGCCACCAACCCGCATTCTCCGACCCCAGCTCCTCTCCGAACCCCAGCCGGTACATCTTCCTCACCTTTCCTCCAGCTGCTTATATTCGCAGCGCTTGCAATCTCCTTTCAGGAGTACCCCACTTAGCATCGCCTCCTGAAGAGTTACTTCCTTTATCCAGCGTTTCCCTACTTTCCTCTTGGCTCCCCCTGCCCCTAACCTTCGATGGTTACCCGGACTCCTATCCCGGCTCCAGCTCTGTCAAGCGTGTGTTGGTTTGGGGGGGGGGGGGGCGATAGCATCTCTCTAGCCCTAGCGGGTCAATGGGAAAGGAAGCGGGGTGGAGCAGAGTGGACCTGGCCCTACTCAGCGGAAAGAGAAACCCAAGAGGTGGTATTACTAGGCCAGTTGGCACCTGTTTATAGCCAGCCCACAATTAGAGCTGCTTTGGCTGCTTTTTCTTTCATCTTTTCAGAATCTACTTTCTCCCTTCCCAACGCCAATCCCTTTCTATTTCAAGTCTACCTCCCTCCTGACACTTTTCTTCTCCTAGATGAGGAACAGTGAAGAGTTCACAACTATTCTGTGGTTTTTTTTTTTTTTTTTTTTTCCTGTCGGATTGTAACAAACATGGCCTAGGCTAACTGAAGTTCACATACAAGTCTAGCATATCTTAATGGGAAGACTATGAATTTTGAAGCCAGGATACTGAAGTTACAGTGCTGGTTCTTCCAAATACAAGCTGATAACTTTGTGCAAATTATTAATCTCTCTTTCATGGAAATTCTTGACTTTCTTTATCTACCAAACAAAGATAACCCAGCTTGCCCTGCTCTCTTCACGATTGGGAGAATTAAATAAATGGATGCTTGTGAAAGATTTTTTTGTAACTAATAGTATTCTGCCCACTTGTTGGCTTCAGACCTTGATGGGCAAAGTAATAAATACGCCTTCAAACCTCCCCCTCCTGATGCCCTCTTCTTCAGGGCCCTTCTCTGTGGAAAATAACCACATACTCTTGTAGCAGCCAGACTTACCTTTTTCTGGGTCCCTTTCTTTCCAGGTCGTTTCATTTATACAGTTTCCCTGGCATGGTACAGACCTGCTATCCTGACTTTTCCTCCCAGACGACCTAAGCCTGGGTCACTCTACTTGCCCAGTTCAAAATCAGCTTACCTGAACACATTTTTCCCCCTATTGATCAGGGGAAGAAGGGAAGGCAGAACTGCCCTTTTCCTTAAGTGTTAAAATATTAAAATCTGCCTGCTGGTAATTAAAGCTATAAACTAGGCTGGCTGTGTGATATTTGGAAGAGAGAATAAACCATTAACTGACCCATGGGGGAATAATGACAACAGATGACATATATTGAGTATTTAACCATGTGAGAAGCACTGTGGTAAATGTTTCACATGAAGCAGGTCTTCCATTTTTACAGAAAGCTACAATAAATATTATTATTATTATTATTATTATTATTATTATTATTATTTCCATATTATAGATAAGGAAACTGAGACCTAGTATAGGTAGGAGTGCTCAGTTTCAGACAAGTGTGAGGATGGAATTCATGCTCCAGAAAACTTGAATTGATATCATGCCAGACTCCATTTGTACTGTATGAATGGTATTGTGTGTTTTGAAATATTTATAAAACTCCAAAATGAAGACTTAATTCTTTTAAAAAAATTGACAGGGGCTGGGGATGTGGCTCAAGCTGTAGCGCGCTGGCATGGCATGCGCAGGGTCCTGGGTTCGATCCTCAGCAACACATAAAAACAAAATAAAGATGTTGTGTCCACCGGAAACTAAAAAAAAAAAAAAAAAAAAACTCTCTCTCTCTCTCTCAAAAAAAAATTGACATTCTTTTGGTGCTACAGAAGTGTGAGTCTACAGGTTGAAGCATATTGCCATCATCCTGGTTTTTCTTTTCCTAAGGCTCTGGAAAGGATTAGGGTTGGACTAATGGCTAGGGTTTAAAGTGTCCTTCTTCTTGTTAAATTACTGTTTCACAAAAGGGAGAAATGTCTGTCTTGTCTTTTTCAGGACACAGAGATAATTATAAGAGTTTATCAGTCATTAGTTCTGCATATCAGGTGTAAAAATGACTTATTTTTGGCTCTTGAGCTGTTTTTCCTCTAAAGCAGATTTAAAAATGTGTTGAAGTGCAGCATGTATGTATGTGTGTGTGTGTGACACACACACACACACTAATGTATTCATAGGTAAGTTCATAGAAGTTTATAGTTACGTAAATGTTTACAAATTGGACATACCCAGATAACTAGCTCCAAGATCAAGAAACACATTCCAGTCTCTAGTTATTACCCTACCCAAGTGTGAACTTGTTGAGAGCCACAGCCGAAGGGGCCCCAGCAAACTTCCAGCTGCCAGCAAACTTCCGGCTGATGATTGCTTTGTGATAGGATATGCTAGGTTTTCCCTTCTTTGTACTTAATTTAAATAGATTCATAGGATACATGTACTTTTTGTGTCTTTTACTGAACATTATTTGAAAGATTTGTCCATATTATTCCTTGTAGTTATCTCATTGCTGTATAGAATTGTTTTGTTAATATGCTATATGTGATTTATCTATTTGTTGATAAGGAATTTTTAGATCTTTAGTACATTCTTTTGCTGGCTATAATTATGCATTTTTCTTGGGTTATGTGTATGAGTCAGATTTCTAGGTCATAGAATATTCATATATTCAGCTAGATACTACCAATTTATACTCCTACCACCTATGGATGAAAAAGGAACTGTCTTTTAAAGTTGCATTTTAGGGTTCCTGACCATTATGAAAACAACTCAGGCCTACCCTAAGGTTCAGTGTCTTTCCTGTATGAATCAGAGTTTGTTCTTTGTAGTTTTCCCTACCCTCATTACATCTGTGTCACTTAGCACCTGGAATTCTTAGTTATCTCTCCTTTTTGGAATGAAAACTTATTAATTAGGATTTTTCAGTTAATATTTATTGAGATTCTAAGAAAATATACTGTGATTGTGTTTTGGAGCTAGATCATCTGAATTCATATCTCAGTCTGCTACCTAACTAGCTTTGTGATTTGGCAAGTAGGTAATCTCTCTGTGCCTCAATTTCTTCATTTGTAAATTTTGGGTGATGATAGTACTATCTTACCAGGCTGTTATAAAAATTGATGAGTTAATGTTTGTGAAAATGCTTAGAACAGTGCATGGCACATTGTAGATACTTAATTTAGCTACTAATTACTATATTATCATTATTAGTTGTTATTCAGAACCTACATTGGGAGTTGTTAAAAATACATACCTGGCTTAGATGTAGCATCTGCCCTCTCAACTTTCTTAGTGAAATGAGGTGATGAGATGCCAAGCATAAGATCCAGGAATGAAAGTGAGAACTTTCATGAGAAGGACAAATGAAATAGGTTTGGAATTTAAAGGAAAATAAGGTCCAGCTCCATATGAGTGTGAAATGACGAAAAGTTTATGGAACGTATGGCATTTTAGCTGAGTCTGAATAAGAGATTTGGGAGGTGAGGACTCCCTGCCAGGGGAATGGTAAGGTTACAAACTCAGAAGCAGCTAACGTTTTAAGGCAAGGGGGTAAGAGGCACTTGAAGAAGGAATTGAGTTAGAGGGATAGGTTTTGTAGATTGTAAAAGACCTTGAATGTTACAATGAGGAATTTGAACTTGGCTTTGATTTTTGTATAACTTAATTTTAGATCTGTCTTTCATTACAAAGCACCTCAGATTCATTTAAGAAAGAGGCAGCATCAAAATAAATAAAGTTGAAGCTGGCTAAAGAAGTGTTTTTCATTATTAAGGAAATGAGATTCCTGGAGGTGAGAATTTTGCTTCCCTTCTAGTTCTCAAAAGTCCAAATCCAGTTGGTTTCATTTGATCTACTATTCTGTAGACATTGGAATACCTTTCCTTACCACCAAAACTTTGACTTTACTTAGTACTTGGGAAACCTCCAACTAAGTAATTACTCCTAGAAACCAATGGGATTTGTTTAAGGGGTATATCTTTTTACATAGCATGTGTAGTTTTGTGGTATAATGCTTAAGTGTATTAAAAAGATTTTTAAAATGCATTCTAAAGACATTTTCATTATTTGAGAAGCTGATATTAGACTGTCAGAATACCTGCGTTCTGCCCCCGGTTGTGTGACCTCAGATTGCTTTTTTTTTCTTTAACCTCTTTTGGCTTTATTTTCCTTATGGGTGAAATAAAAATAGCTAACATTTACAGAGCTACCAAATGCCAGATAATATTCTCATTTCTTTAAATATTATTATATCCCCATTTTATCCTCACAGCAGTACTGTTATTGTCTTCATTTTAAGAATCTTTTTTTTTTTCTTTTTTTGTGCTGGGGATCAAACCCAGACCCATGTACTCTAGGCAAGTGCTGTGCCACTGAGCTACATCCCTAGCCTTAACCTCATTTTAAAGGTTAAGTAAATCACCCAGAAAGCTTAAACAACTTTCCAAAAGCCATAAAAAAGCCACACAATCTATAACTCAAAAGTATGTGCTCTTAACTATTGTGTTATGCTACTTCAAAAATGAGAAGATCATATTATACCAACATTTCCTAAACTGCTTCTCATGACACTAGTCCTACAATATAATTTGTTTAAAAATAAAAAGGATCCTAAAGTAAAATACGTTAAACCCCCACAAAATGTAGAGATTATTCATATTCACCTATTAAAGGATCTGAGAAGCCCAGCAATACATACACTTCCTTATATTTATTTCATCCAGTGTTTCTTTACCCCG